ACTATGGCCAAGAAAGTCACCAGGGCAAATCCAGGTGTAATCACTGCAACAGCAGGACACGCTAACTTAACCCTCCTTCTCCGTGGAAACCCTTTAGATCACACCTCTCAAACCTCTTCGTCCTGTGTTCATGGCGCTGGCAACTTGAGTACTCATGAGTGAGAATGAGCCTGCTTTATTTCTGTGGTGTCTGGCAGGATTACTTTCTTTTTGATAAAACTGGACAACTATTAATGCAACTCTCTTTGGAAGCCACACAGTGGGGTAGGGAAAAAAAAAAACTCCATCGACTTCCAGGACTTAAACTTTCCAGACCCAGAGGCAAGAATGTGCCACGTTGTGCAAACAGATGCATCCAGTGCGGGGATGCTGAAGCCGTGGAACGTTCAAGTCGTTGAAGTTACTGCCCTTGACCTAGTTCTCTGCACAACAAGCAGTCTTTTGATCATTTGGTTTCTTTTTTCCTCCTTTTTTTTTTGTTGAGGACAATTGCTTTACAATGTTGTGTTGGCCTCCGCCACGCAATAAGGGGAATTAGTCACAACTACACATTTCTCCTCTCCCTCTCCTCTCCCATCCCACCCTTCTAGGCCATCTCTGAGAGCCAGGCTGTGCTCCTTGTGTTATATGGCGGCTTCGCAGTAACTCTGTTTTACACGTGATAGTCTATATATGTCACTGATACTTTCTCCACTCTACCCCACCCTCTTTTTTCCCCACTGTATCCACAGTCTGTTCTCTGTATCTGCCTGTCCATTTCTTCCTTATTAATAGGTTCATCAGTACTGTTCTTCTCGATTTCATGTATATGCATTCGTCTGCAGTATTAGTCCTCCTCTTCCTGACGTCACTCTGTATAACAGGCCCTCAGTCCGTCTGCTCACTGCAGCTGACCCACGTTCGTTCCTTGGAGAAGGTCTCAATGAGCAATAACCACAGCTCGGACAAACCTCACTGGCTGTGATGGTGACAGCCGCAGTGCAGAGTGCACGTGGTTTCTTTTTTTGGCCTTTTTTTCTTTGCTGTTGCCATCTAGGCTACTGCTCCGTCAAGTCCCCTCGTGGGCCTGGGCCTGTCTCGGGAGAGCTCCGGGGTGTGTCCTTGCACCACCGCAGCCCTGCAGAGGTTTGCACCCGCCGAGTGTGCTCTGGCCTTTTTTCCCGTGGGTGAGACAGCCCCGGTTCCTCTGGCCCGTCTTTGGAGACCTCCCTCTTCACCCTCTGGTGGACAGGACCTGAGGGAGGCGTCAGGGATCCGATCCCTGCTTGGCTTTCTCACATTCTTAGCCTGTGAGCCTCTAGGGAGCTCTAGAAAGACAGCACAAGCCAGACTAACTGGTGGCCCATCAGAAGCTGTTGTCTGGCTCATTTCCCTTCGCAGAAAAGGGGAGGAAATGTGGGGCTGGTTAGGATTCTGCCATCTTAACCATCCTGATAAATTTCCCGCCAAGACGTTGCTTGCTGTGTCGTGGCCAGGATTTTTTTTTTTTTCTCTTTAAATTTTCATGTAAAGTAGAGTAACTCTAGTTTGTCCTCTGGTATTTGTTTCCTGAACTTTACAAAAATAGGTCAAGTGTATAGCATGGCCCACTGTGAAGATTAAAGATCTTTGACATTCTGCAATAAATTAGTCAGAGGAAACACGCTGAAATTTTAGGATTATCATTGAGTCTAAGAGTTTTGGACTGAAAGCTAAGCTAGAAGCTATCTTGAATGCTGTTAATGGTTACTTTGATGTGATGTTGCCACTTTCTTCTTATGACCCAGTTCATTTTTTACATGATAGAAGAAGATTGAAATTTTTAAAAATGATTTTGTGAGGTGAATTTTACAGGATGAAGTAAAGCTGCCAAGTCCAGCTCAGCTCTGTATGTAGTTTAGCACGTAACATCGGGTGGGCCACTAAGCTCTCTGCCTCAGTTTCCTTATCTGCCAAGTAAGAGCCTGGCCTCAGCAAACTGAGATCCTCTCAGCATCTTAGACTCTGAGCAGTGGTTCTGGACCTTCTTTCCCAGGGAAACTAACACACACACACGGGACATGTTCTGTTCGCAGGAGGTGTTTCCTGTGTGTGCGTCTCTGTGGCGGCGGCTGCTTTTTGCTTCAAGGCGGCAGCATAGATAAAACAGGATGCAGGTCAGGCACCACTGCCGGCTCTGATCCCCCCTCCGTCTCCTCGGTGAGCACAACTTTTGCATCAAGAACCACAGCTCTCCCGAAATGCACATTTGTAGAACGTGTGCATTGAAAGATTTAAGTGCAAAATGCATCAGTTTTTGAAAAACATTAATTCTGTTCATCAGCTATGGGTGTAATTATATCTTCTCCTGCTTACATTCTTTCTCTCGGCTTACTGAGTTCTACCACAATGAAAAACCAACCCCTTGGCAAACCTCCCCCTCCAGAGGAGTCTTAAAAAGGCAGAGCTCCCCACTTGCTGGCCAGCCTGATCACTCTGAAAGGCTGGTCCCCTATTTGTCCCATCTCTGTCCTTGTGGGAGGCCCAGAGAGGTCTGCAGTGACAAAGTTTGCCCCCCGGGGCTAATTGTATAGCGGCTTCTTGGAGTTGAAAAGGAGAGCTGTTTGGTCTCCTAAAACAAAGAGAAATAAATGACTGCTCAAATAACAAAGTCTAGGTTATCACCTCAAAGGCCCCCTTGATGGTAGTGATATATCCATGCAGGTGCCAAGCTGGGCAACCCCACATGCCTGTCTGTCTGCAGGACCACCGTTCTCTTAAAGCAGCTCTATTCATCCAGCCTCGTAAAGAGAGCAGCTCCCCACCTTCCTGCCAGGACAAGGCTGTTAGATCAATTAGCAGTGCCTCTGCCACCCAGATACTTCCACCTCCTTCTGCAAGCAGGCTTCTCCCAGACGAATCACACTGAAATGGCCCCTGCTAGCGTCCGTGTGAATCCCAAGCAGCGAGGACGACAGGCTGTCCGGCCCCACCGTCTATTGCAGCGCAGCGTATGGCGGTGTCGGTGCTCGGAGCGGCCTGCAGCAACCACGGCTGAATGAGCACGTTCGAGCGATGCTCCGCTCAGCACGGCCCGCCGGACACTTTCTCTGGGCTGGCACCCAGCAGGCACCTCTCAGGAGGCCTTCACAGCTCAGGCCGAGAGGCCTTCAGAAGGGGACTTGAGTTGACCAGGCTTTATGTTTAAGTGTGACTCAGATGTCTGTCATCTGGTCTTCCCTGTCCCTTGAGATATAAATAGGCTTTGCTTCAAATTGCACAGTCTGGAAATCTGAATTCTGTGACTTCCTGGGGGCTTGGGTCTCTGTCTCAGCTCTTGCTTCTGTGTCTGGGACCTTAGCCTGAAACTTTCAGGGTGCTTATGGAAAGGCATTTATGAGCGTGGGAGGCCTCCCAGAAAACTGGTATCATCAAGACTCCCATTTCATATCCCATAATGGTATAATCAACAGCCCACGTGAGACTTGCCTGTTCTCTTAAGCTTAGCTTCTCAGGGTGTAGTCGGAGGCCCGACAGTACCTCTATGACCTGGGTGCTTGATAGAAATACAATATCTTGAGCCCTACCCCCGGCCTGGCAAGTCAGCATCTAAGTTTTACCAAGATCCCAGGAGACTGCATTCCTTAAAGCGTGTGAATCACGGATCTAAAGTCCTTGTCTGTCCCCCCACCCTGGCGGATTCTCTGTCCCACCCTTGCTCCACGCGGTACCCAGTCTCTCACCTCCTCTTTCTAACCCCTCCGTTCTCTCTTGTTCTTTCATCTCTTCCCTCCCCATCAGGAACTACAAATAAATTCTTTGTTTCCTGACAGAGCAGGCCTCTTCTCTGGAGCTTCACCGTCAGCCATCACCTAGGCCATGAGGGTCTTACCTTCTACCAGCCCTCAATCCTGTCCTCAAGCTTATTAAAGTCTTGGTCTAAACAAGGCCCCCAACTGAGAGGGAGCCTGATACCAGATACTCTGATAAAAGGAAGCTCTCCATCTCATTATAAACGTGCGCTGATTCTATGACGACATTCCGAAAGTGAAAAGGAAACGCTGCTGCTCACTCAGTTGTGTCTGGCTGTCTGTGACCCCGTGGACTGCAGCCTGCCAGGCTCCTCTGCCCACGGCATTCTCCAGGAGAGAATGCTGGGGTGGGCACCCATTTCCTTCTCTAAGGGATCTTTTCGACCCAGGGATCAAATCTTGGCCTCCTGCTTTGCAGGCAGATTCTTTACCATTTGAGCCACTGGGGCTTTCACAAGACATCCAGACAGACTCTTAAATCAGTTCAGGGTCATCAGCTATCATAGAAGCGCCTCTCAGGTGGCAGTAGTGGGAAAGAACCCACCTGCCCGTGCAGGAGATGCAAGAGACTTAGGCTCCATCCCTGGCTCGGGAAGATCCCCTGGGGCAGGCAATGACAACCCACTCCAGTATTCTTGCCTGGAAAATTCCATGACAGAGGAGTCTGGCGGGCTACAGTCCATGGGGTTGCAAAAAAGTCAGACACAACTGCGCGCGCACACGCACACACACACAGGCACACAGAGCTATCACACAAGCCTTAGACCTGGAGAAACTGAGTCTTCGACAGGAAAGTGACTTGTTCAAGGCCTTTTTGCGTGATTTTTTCGTGTCATCATTACAGTTGCCAGTGGTCTTTTTAATGAAGAGAGAAGATTAAAGGCTTTTGTGCTTATCACCCTCAGTTGCATTCTGATGTACTTTCTGGAACAGGAGCAGAGACTGCAGTTACAGCTCCGGGGTCACGAGTTTGGGGACACACACCGTGGGGTCCTGTTGTGTCTCACCAGTTTCATGTCATGTGTGTCCCAGCTGGGCACAGGTTGACCTGTAAGGTTCTTTCCAGCTCCATTACCCTTTCAGATACAAAAGTCAGGAATCTGTGAAATTGTGCGCCACCAAATCCCCCCTGTGTTGTGGTAGCTCCTTTTAAAAATCAAATCTCACTCAGGAATACTTGAATAGGTAACGCTCTGGATTTCTCCTCCTTGCCCTTGGTTTTGTTCCCAGGAAGCGAGAAGAAGAACACAGGCGCAGAGAGGCGGAACAGCAGAAAGGAGGGCTGAGCCCAGATTCCTGCAGACCCCACGCTGCCCTCTGCCTGCCCAGCACCCAAGCTGAGCCCCACGGACAGAGCCGGGCCCCCAGCAAACAGCCCCCCTGCAGCGACGAGGCCCAAGGCCCTGAGCGGAGAGCCTGCAGACGGTCTCCAGGTAGAGGGTCTCCAAGCAGAGCCCCCCAGAAGGAGCCGCAGCTCTGCCCAGACTTGCAGAGAACAGAACCCAGAAAACCAAATGGTAAGTGTATTGCCTCGCGATTCAGTGCTAACCCATGGACTGTGAGCTCTTTAGTTTCATAATATTTAGACCTCTTACATTTAAAGTAATTATGTCAGCACTTAAGTCTGCCACCGTATCATTTATTTTCTGTTTATTTCTTGTTTCTCTTTTCTTCCCTCCCTGTTGTATTTCCTCAAATTCTTTCTTAGCTTGGGATGGGTATATAGCAGTCCCTTTACCCATGGTAATTAAAAGTGCCTCGTATTTTTTAGCTCTCAGAGTGAATGCTCCTTCCTCTGACACTCACGCCTTCCCACCAGATGAAGCTTTTTTTCCTTCTGTATGCTCCCGCAGCTTTCCTGTGCATCCCTATTGTAAAGACCATCACCTTGCACTGTTAGTGGATTACTGGCTTACTTGTCTGTTTTTTCCACTAGACTGTACAACCTGTAAAATCAGGATTGCTTCAGTTATCTAATGCTTTGTAACAGACTACCCTAAACTCAGTGATTTACAAGAACAGTTTACTATTTCCCGTGACTCTGTGGGGGCTCTCGCAGTTCTCTTCAGGCATCATCTACACTCACTCATGTGGCTACATTCAGGTCGAGGTCAGTTGAATTGGTTGGTCTAAGATGGACTGACTTGAATATCTGGCAGTTGATGATGGTTGTCCGCTGGGATTCCTTGACTCTCTCACATGGCGTTTCATCCTCCCATCGGCTAGACTGGCTTCCTTACACAGGTCTTGGACATCGTTCTAACAAAACACAGGAAAAAGCTATAAGACTTCTTGAAGAGTAGGCTCAAGAATGTGCACACCACATTTTATTGATCAAGGCAAGTTGTATGACCTTCCCAGACTAAATAACATAAAGAAATAGAATCCATTTTGCATACTAAGATGGGAGTAACTTTTGGCTATTAAACAACCTATCACAGTTCCTTTTTGGTCACAGATTATTTACATTTCTCCCACACGTAAAATGTTTCACCCCTTATCTTAGGACCCAAAAATCTCATCCCAGTTAACACATCAAGTTTGAAGTCTGGGATCTTGAGACCCGTGTGAGATTCCCCATGCGTGAGTCTTTCTGATTCAGAGGAGCAGCCGACAAGAACACACATTGGCCCACACGTGCATCCAGCAAGCAACGGTGAGGTCGGAACAGAATCCCAGGGGGCTCAGTGGTAAAGAATCCACGTACTAGTGCAGGAGATTTGCACTTGACCCCTGGGTCGGGAAGATCCCCTGGAGAAGGAAATGGCAACCCACTCCAGTGTTCTGGCCTGGGGAATTTCATGGACTGAGGAGCCTGGTGGGCTACAGTCCACGGGGTCACAGAGTCGGACACGACTGAGCAACTGTGGATGCACACAGGCCACAACAGACGCTCCTGCTCCAGAAGAGGAGAGACTGGTCCACAGCAATTCTGAAAGCTAACTGGTCATACATTAGCAGGCCCCTACTCCTAGGTATGAAACATGCCTTGATTAAGGCCTGGTTTTACTCCTCTGTGTGTTTTCCATGCCATGTCCGTCTTGGCTCTGGGCTGCACCGCCTGGGTTCTTGGCCCCGCTGAGAAGTCTTCCTTTTCAGTGAGACGTGGCCCATGTTTGCAGCTGAGTAGCTTTCTTAGCCTGTTTGCAGCGTAAGGGAAATTGCGGCCCCAGGGGCTCCTTTGTGTTGAAATCGCCTCCATCAGGTCAAGCTAGCGGTACTCTCAGTGATACAATTATTTCAAAAAATTCATGGGTCTCGTGTGAATCTGATTGAGTTCACTTCATGTTCCAAAACCACATCAATGAGTATTTTTCAAGTAGACCTTTCTCTACTTCTGTCTTCCAAGTTACTGCAGGTGACAGTTTTGCCAGTTATCATGCCACTGAACTGCATGGGTCACTTTTTTCCAGACTCCTGTAGCAACTCCTAGAGCAACCTCCTATAGCACTTCTCTAGTCTTCACTAATAGTTTCTTCATTGTCTTTCTAACCTCTGCTCACCAGCCAGTCCAAATGTCAGTGCTTTGGGTTTTTGCTAGGCCAGCAAGCCTCTTTCTTAGGTATCAGTTTCTGTGTTGATTATCTCTAGTGGCATAACAGCCCACCCTCCAAACTCAGTGGTTGAAAACAGTGCTGTATTATTTCTCACAGTTCTGTGGGTTGATTAGGCAGCCCCTCTACCGGATCACCTGGGCTTGCTTTTGTAGCTGCTAGAAGGGTGGTCAGGCCGGAAAGTCCCGATGTCTTCCTTCGCGTTTCTGACAGTTGGTGCTGGCTGTTCGCGATTGGCGTCTCAGTTCTCTTCTATAAGCCCTTTCATCCTCCAGTAAGTTAGATCATCTTACTTGCATACTATTCTCAGGGCAGTGTCCTGAAAAAGGAAAGCAGAAGCTACAAGCCCTTTTGAGGCCTGGGCTCCAGAACTATCACATCCCTTCTACCACATTCTGTGTTTTAGAGCAATTCACAAGGCCAGCCCAGTTCAAGAGAGTGGAGACATAGACATATTGCAAAATCACATTTGAAAGTTGAGTGGATCCTCGGATGGGAAGAATTCTTGGCCACTAAACAGTCTATCATAAAGACCACTATGTCTCTCACTTCTGGATCCCAGCAGGGTGTTGGGCACATAAGAGATATAATAAGCATTTGTTGAATATATATCTGTATAGTACTGGCTAAGTGCTTGAGATTCACGGGGTATGACTGGTGGGAGTATCAGTGGAACATGCACAGTGGCTAAGGCAGCAAGCTGTTTGTTTACCTCTTTCCTTACCCCAGTTATGTGTATGCAGTTATTTACTATGTCATCATTTAGATATCCCCAAGGTATCTCAGACTCAACCTGTGCAAGGTAGAATTGATCGTGATTTCATGTAAACCTGTTCCTGATATTGGTCAATGACATATTCATCCATCTGTATGTCCATCCCAGGAGTAAAATCTGATCATTATCTTCTTTTCGTTTACCGCTCAAAATCCAGTCTGTCCCCAAGTCTGGTCACCTTTACTTCCGAAATACCTCCCAGACCCGTCCTCCATCTCGTCCGCTGCCACCGACAGCCGCCCTGGCGTGCGTCACCGTCACCTCTGTCCTGGACCATTGCGCTAGCTGCCCAGCTGCTCTTACTGATCTGCTCTGATTCTTCTGAACCATTTTCTTCTCGATGTGTGAGCATATCAGTGCCTTCAAAGGTGAAATCTCATCAAATTGCTTCCCTATCCAAAGCCTTGTAATCTGCACTTCTCTGGTTCAACGCAACCTGGTTCCTTTTGTTGGAGATGGTGATAGAAACCAAGACCTGAATGCTAGGTGTGTATACCACTATTGGACGGTCATTGCTCCCGAGCCCTTTCAACAGAGAGAACTGAGAAATATTTATATCTATTTGGCATCTATTTGTGTATGTGTGTATCACACACACACTGTTTTCATACCAATACCTCCAGTTGCATTTGACACCACAGATTTTATACTAGCTTTTATTTTTTTTATTTGAAATTTTTTTCTCCAACTGACAGATCTGGCTTCAACTATCTGTGATATATATGCTTATTTGTTTAATCCCATTATACACATAAAGTAGTTTTAGGATTGCCATCCCATACGCCTTTGAGAAAGAAATTTACTAAATAGAGCTCAGTATTTCATATATTCCTTAGTCTTACAGTGCTCAGTCAAAGCATGATTTTACAAAGTTACTTTGGTAAGTTCCCTTCTCCACGTTTTAGTGTGGTTACCTCATCTATTTGTAATAGTGTTAGGTTTATTTGTTATTATTTTTATTCCATCTTGGGTTCTTTCCCACATCCTAGCTGATTCTAATTGCTGGATTTTGGGGGGTTTTTTTTTGGTAGTGGGGTACTTTTTATTTAAACAGAAAATGACATTTTCTCATAATTGTAAAATTAGTTAGTGTATGTTACCAAAAAATTTAAATCAGAGAAAAGAAAAAGAACAAATAAAAATCCTAAGAATAAACAAAAATCTTTTTAAAAAATCTTAAAAGTAAACAATTATACAAACGCTTCTAATTTTTTTTTAAATCAGAAAATTGTGGACATCCTGTTTTGAGGTATTCTTAACATCATTTCTTTGTTTTCACCAAAAGTGTTAATCAGTTCAGTTTAGTCACTCAGTCATGTCCAACTCTTTGCGACCCCATGAACCGCAGCACGCCAGGCCTGCCTGTCCATCACCAACTCCCGGAGTTGACTCAGACTCATGCCCATTGAGTCAGTGATGCCATCCAGCCATCTCATCCTCTGTCATCCCCTTCTCCTCCTGCCCCCAATCCCTCCCAGCACCAGGGTCTTTTCCAATGAGTCAACTCTTCGCATGAGGTGGCCAAAGTATTGGAGTTTCAGCTTCAGCATCAGTCCTTCCAATGAACACCCAGGACTTATCTCCTTCAGGATGGACTGGTTGGATCTCCTTGCAGTCCAAGGGACTCTCAAGAGTCTTCTCCAACATCACAGTTCAAAAGCATCAATTTTTCGGCTCTCGGCTTTCTTTATAGTCCAACTCTCACCTCCATACATGACTACTGGAAAAACCATAGCCTTGACTAGATGGACCTTTGTTGGCAAAGTAATGTCTCTGCTTTTTAATATGCTGTCTAGGTTGGTCATAACTTTCCTTCCAAGGAGCAAGCGTCTTTTAATTTCATGGCTGCAGTCACCATCTGCAGTGATTTTGGAGCCCAAAATAATAAAGTCTGACACTGTTTCCACTATCTCCCCATCTATTTCCCATGCAGTGATGGGACCGGATGCCATGATCTTAGTTTTCTGAATGTTAAGCTTTAAGTCAACTTTTTCACTCTCTTCTTTCACTTTCAAGAGGCTCTTTAGTTCTTCTTCACTTTCTGCCAAATAAGGGTGCTGTCATCTGCATATCTGAGGTTATTGATATTTCTCCCAGCAATCTTGATTCCAGCTTGTGCTTCTTCCAGCCCAGCATTTCTCATGATGTACTCTGAATGTAAGTTAAATAAGCAGGGTGACAATATACA